GGGTTACTATAGCTTTAAAGGTTATTCCGAGGAGCATGTGATTTAATAAATATATAGGTTTATCTTTTTGATGTAAGCGGCTAAGTGATGAGTCTGAGGTTATGAACAGAAAGTATTGAGTGACAATATGTATTACTTTTCGCAATTCTTTTTGAGTAGCATTCGTCATGATGGATCGCATTAAGTAACAGTTCATATTTAACTGCTGATTAATTTCGATTTGTTCAAAATTATTTATCAAGCAGATCCATGCCCCATTTTTAAATAGAACTAAATTAAATTTCGGCAAGAGAAACTAATTTGCGGGAAAATATTTCATATTAGATGAATCTTGGCAGCCGAATGATCGTAAACAAGAGAAATTATTAATTTCAGTAATATTCGCTGGTTATCTCACGCAATGAATTTTAGGCCAACGGCCTTGGGCCTACAACAATACATGAACCTAGTTTTGTTTGTCCTGGTTTTGGTATCTTGTACCCAAGGATTGAGGGTAGGTTACTGCTCCATACATTTGTAAATTTGTTTATAAATGTACTATCGGACGAAAAAAAAACTGTGGATTTTGAATTTTTTCTGCGATTCTTCCTCCCAACTTCGACAGACAATGTTTTATGGCATCTGGAGATGTGGAGTATCCTGTTGGCTAGAGAAAAAAATCAATTTCGCATCATAACATTTTGAAATTTCTCCAATTTGAATTGGCAGATTAGTGCAAATAGAATGCTGAGAATGGACATTATAGCAGCGTATGACGAAAAGTTTAGCCACTGAATTTCGTACAGGGTCTTGGGCTAATAGGAAAATTAACTGTAATCCAAATTGAGGGAGAAAAAAAAAACAGTTCAAGTATTACGCATCCTATGCTCCGAATATAACCATTAAACCATGTAATAATACGCGATACAGGCCCATTTTTATCATATTATTAAAATCCGTCTAAAACATCGTGAATAGCTTCATCTCATCGTAACCTAAGACTTTTTATTTATGAACATCATCGAAACCTGTGCGTTTTTAATCTGGAGATTGGCAAACTTTGTCTATTTAATTAGGTACTAAAAAACTCATTGATACCCATTTGCTTCCAAATTGAATCGTCACATAATTTTACAACGAAATCTAGAAACCACAAAAGTTTTTTTTTTATTATTATTATTATTTGAAAATTAATACATTCTGCCACATTGGAGGGCATTAATATTAGGGCTACATTAAACATTCACACAATATAAACATGCAAATGGTAACTAAAATAGAGTTAATAAAGAAAAAGAGTTGTAGAAAATAAAATAAGAAAATTAGAATACATATGTAAAAAAATAATAATAATAGATAGAAACTAAATGAAATTAAAATAGATAGAACACATTCACAATATTTACATTCGCCCAGGGGACTCTGAGTCATGCTTTATCTCCCAAATGTGGAAGCCAAGGCAGGACTCCAGGAGATCCCAGTGCTTCTCTCCCAGCCGCGTCACTGCTATTGGATACAAAAGTATTAAGCCATTAGGAGTAATCTCCTCTATCCTCCTCCCCCTCATCCCAGAAATGTTCAAACAACGAGTTTATTTAAAGAAAACGGACCATTATTTTTGTAAGCACTTTTTTGTCAGTTTTGGGATCACTTTTTTATCTAACAATTAAAGTGGTAAGTATGAGTTTTAGTATCTAAATTAAGTAACAAAGATGACCAGATTGAAATTTCTCATTCCCGAACACTTTTATAAATAAAAAAGTTGTCGGTTTCAATAAGATGAAGCTATTCACGAAGTTTTAGACATGTGTTAATAATTTGACAAAAATGTATCAGCACCGGGGATTAATCTATTCTACAAAGAAAAATGCTAATTACTCGTCATTGGCTTGTAAAACTTTCCTCCCAACACCAATATCTTTTAGAAATTAAACCAGTTACGCAAGTTGTGTATACCATTAGCAAGCTGATAAAATAAAGATACTCTTTCGAATAACTGTTTTCGTAGCTCGAAAATACACTGTGTGAGATACCAACGAGTATTCCTGAAAATTGTTTATACTTTGGATGCTAAGACAGCTTAAAAAATCGTTATATACCTGCATATTTCTTGCTATCTGATCGAAAGTTATAATTGTTACGAAAATTGATAACCATTCAGTTGCATTAGAGAAATTTGGATTTTTATAGGAAAAAAAAAAAAACTTGGTTTTCATATATAATCTTTAAAAATGTCTTATCTCCCCACCAGTGTGAGATAGGTGGGTTGTTGGGACTGAACAATAAGTTTGGTTTGGTAGGCTATCACCACCTTAATTACTGACATTTCCCTCGGGAGCACCCCTAAATAAACCGTTTTTAGATGCCTCATCATGCAATACAGGTCTGATTACCAGCTGATTACTTTTTATTAACAGCTAAGTATATTTAAATTTTGATCGAGTTCTCTAATTTAGAAGATCGAGGTGTCGCACAGTGGGGCAAAACTCTTGATTCTCTAGAAATGATTTATCACCCAGATATTTCCTTATAATAATTGTAATGGGGTTCGTACTCTAGGTATTTCTTAGTAGTGAGTCGAATACTAAAGAACATTTTCTGGGAGGAGTAACTTATTGTTTTTTTTTTGTTTGTTTTTTTTGTTTCTATCCTCAACCAATTTTAAATCAACAGTCTAAAAAAAGAAAAAAGGATGAAAAACTTGAAACGAAAATTCCCAACTACCACATTTTTTTAATATATATATAAATAAAAATACTCTACTAATCTACTGAATACAAGGTCTAATCCTTGAATAGATATATTTAGGCAATTTATGTCATATATCAGCCTTTCAGTGGACGAAATGACTAACTCCAATTTCAACATTTTTGATTAAAGCCATTTTAGTGACATTTCTAGTTGGAAAATTTATAATATCGGTGCAGACAGTGAGTAAGTTGATTCCAGAGTAGTTCATTGCAGTGTTGAAATATAATGCTGTGAATAAAGGTATACATTTTGCCACTAGAAATATCACTAAAATTAATAATCAAAATTGTTGAAAATGGAGTTAGTCATTCTTTCAACTGAAAGGCTCAAGTGATATATTGCACGGGCGGATCTGCGGAGGAGGGGGGGGACTTTCGGGCTGAAGCCCTCCAAAATGGTAAAATATAACCATGTTTTATGGAAAAAAAACTTTTAAAAATATCTCTTAAAGTATTATTGTTCGTGTAATTACATTTAAAAGGAATAAATGAATCGCTTAAACACCATTTCATATAGGTAGGTAGTTTCTGTTTTTCCAAAGTAATTATCGCTATTTTTATGAAAAAAAAAGTTTTCGGGCTGAAGCCTCCCCCCCTCCCCAAATTAAATCCTGGATCCGCTAGTGATATATTGTAATTGAAAAACTGTAATTAGATTTATAAAAAAAAAAAATTTATTTATTTAGACCTATAATATTCTATCTCGAGGACAATAATTGTAGTGATAAATGAACACATTCACACCATATATGCAGAAAATATAAAATTAACAAAAGTAAAATAATAGCTAAATAATAATAAAAAAAAATATGTACAATAAAAAATAAAATAACCTAAATTTAAGTAAATTAAAAACATAAAAACACAGTCATACTTATATACAATATATACAATCAGGCAGGGAACCCAAAGCCAGGCTTCTCCCTCCAACTATGGAAGGAAAAGCAGGACTCTAAGAGATCTCTGCGCTACTCACTCAACCGCGTCACTGGTGCTAAAGCCAGTGGAGTAGATTTATAAAATAAGAAATATACCTTTTTTTTTTAACTAGTTTATTGAAAAAATTTACAATCTGTCTCAAAGTACAAAATCTACCTTCAAAGAACAAAGGACAAAATCAAAGGACGAAATATACCTTAAAGTCTTAACAATGATTTCTTTTAAGTGGTTTAATAACTTTCATGGGTGATTATTTTTTAAAAAGTTTTATTCAATTAAACTGTTTTATTTAACTAAACTATATTTGAGTTTAATAAAAACAAATTTTTTACTATAGAATATGTTGGTTTAGTAAAAAATTGTATTTTAAATCCAGTTTTTATAGATTAAATCTGGTTTTAATAAAACAAAGTTTCTATTCCTAATTATGTATAATGCAATAATAATTTACATTTGTATATTAATATGATATATTAATACAACTAAAAGAAAACACGAATATTATTTTTTTTTTACAAACATCTGAATGGATTATATTAAAGAAATAATAAATTCTAAAGTGGGCCGAAATGTAACGAAATTTGTGGGAATCACAATAATAATATCTTACGACAACTTTTGATGCCCTTTTTTCAGATGTAAAATTTATGAACGTTTATGAATATGAAAAAAATAAATCGGAAAATAAATTATTTAACAAGACTCGCCATTAGGATTTCTTTCGTTTATTTTTTTAAACCTCCTAAAGACGATGTACTTATTATAAAATACTGTTAAAATAGTATTGTAAATAAGTATTAAAATTCTTAATTTGGCGCTATATAACTGAAGGAACCAACTTTCGAATAAATTTATTAAAATTTTACTATTAAAACTCATAGCAATTAATTGAAAACAGAACATGATATACTTCAAACTTTAAAGAACAAGTTCGTGCACGTTTTTAAGTCATTATAGAAATTTCGAATTTCGGTGAATGTCCATGTAAATTCGCTCAATGTTTACCTTATTCGTTCCACTGTGTATCGTAAAAGAACGACAGAAAGCCATTTTTTTCTTAAATATTTAGTTTCTTTTTTAAGACTATAAAACAGACAGATATCAATTTTTCTTTTTCATCAGTTACCATTCCTTTTCTGCTTCAATTAACATAATTTTTTTTTTTTTGTTTAGCGAATAAATTGTACACTGTTTTATTTCTAAAAAAACATAAGCAATACCATTTCTGAAATAATATTCTAATAAGAATTTTTACTTTCACGTACTAATATATGCTTAGCATGAAATTGAAAAATTATCCATTCATTGATGAGATCCATTTCATTGTTACAGCGGAATTCATCAAGCCATGCTACAGGAAAGATCCCAATCTCAATGACTGCATAAGACAAGCGTTCGACCACCTGAGGCCCTACTTATCAAGAGGTAATTAATGATTCTTTATTGCTAAATCATAAATTTGCAATTATGTATCTTATATAACTGTATCATGAACAATCAGAGCTATATATTTCAATTATGATTAATTATTGTTTGCAAGTTGATGCAATACAAAACTTATTATGTTAGATGGTATCTCATTAATTCAGAGATTATTTATTTTTATTTAGTAAAAGGCCATTAAATAAAAAAATGCTGCAAATTATTTCACAATGGTTTATTATTTCCAAACAATTATACATCTAAAGTAACATTACCTTCCTAATTACAAAGAAAAATAAATAAAAGGGGATTCCAATTATTGGACTAAACTTTTTTTTAATCATTAGTAATATGCTAAAAAAAAAATAGCATTACTTCAGTAACATATTCAAAATTTAAAAACCAAACAAAGGATATAAAATATGGAGTAGAATATATAAAAAAAAGAACTGAAGACCATATCTTTGCTGCTAATTGTCCGATTTTTTTTAGGAAATTTCGTAAAGTTTTAAAAAACAATATAATAATAAACCAAAAATATTTAAAAATAGTGATATCTCTACTAATAGTGCTTTGATTTTGATGAAACTTCCTTCATTTTTTAGGAAATTTAAATACCTTTGAAACATCCCATCACAATATCGGCAAAAAAGTGTAAACTTTTTGAGTTATTCGGAATTTAATTTTACCATCCCCCGTAACTTTTTTTCCAGCTTCTTTTCGTTGAAGTACGTTATATAAATAATTTAAAAGGCGTCGAGAAAATGACTTTAGCGAAGTTACATTGAAATCGGTACATTCGTTTAGAAGACACAGTCTATAGCAATGCAGGTTTTTCGGCCGCCATTTTGAAAGTAAAAGGCGGATAGCAATGTCGATGAAGGAGGATCATCCTCGGGTGACCACTGATTTTATATCCAAATTTGAAAAAAAATCGGTCCATTAGTTTCGAAGAAATTGCGCGGACAGCGGACGGCGGAAGGACAAAAAATGTTTTTTATTCGTTTTTCGAATTCTGCGCATCCTGAAACGTGAAACCTCAAATTTTGAGAGGCGGTTAAGTTTCTGAATTTTTTGGTTTATCACAATGCTGATTATTGAAAATAATAAACCAATAGGAGAGGAATAGCTCAGTAAGTAGACACTGTATTCAAAGGCTCAGGATCCTAGATTCGAGTCCGGCTCTAACAGATGATTATTTATTCTATTAAACCAGGCTAAGGTCGGGAGATCCTCTTAGAGCACACCCTGTCCCTATAAAATGAGTAATTTTAATTAAATTAATAGTTAAGGGGAAAATCCTGGCGGTTAAGCTTAGTATTGGTCAAATCACATCCTTGTACAACAGTACTTCCTTACGAAGTACTCAACCCAAGACCCTCGATTAAAAGGAAAAAAAATAATAAGCTAAAGTCATTCAAATACGAGTCAATATTTAACATGTAATTACGTACTATGCCTTTGGCGCATCTACATAAAAACACAGAGAAATAGACCAGTGGACTCGAAATAGATTTTCTGTACTCAGGAACACTGAAACGTAAAAAATTACAATACTTCCTTCATTCCTTCACCTAGTACGGTTGAAACGTAGTAACATATGAGAGTGTTATCAGAACTGAGTTCTCTGTGCCAAATGAATTAAAGTGATTGGGGTATTCTTTTTGACAAGTAGTGCAAAATCTCCGAATGAACTTCGATCTTCCCACTATGGTTAGAATAAGTTTGAAAATATAGAACAACTTCTTTCCTTCCATCCCTCCTCCTCCGTATGCCAGAAATGGTGAGGCAGGGGATAATCAGAAAAAAAAGTAATCAAAATCTTTAAAGCGCTATAATAGTTTTTACAAATTGTTTATAAGTTGTTAGCTAATGCAGTTAACAGAGGTCAGTGGGCGGAGTGGCCGAACGGGCTAACGAGTGTGCACAGCACCGCCGTTGCCCGGCAACCTGATCTATGAGACAATGGATTTAAAATAGTCACGAGTTCGCGTCGCGGTGACGGGGGAGTCTTTTAAATCCCCGCCCACACACCCTGGCCCGAGAAAACCCCGTGTAGCCTTAAAAGCGAGAAAGAGGAGCCCCCCCCCCCGCAAAAAAAAGAAAAAGAAAAATAGTTAACAGAAGTAAAGAGTTTGTTAGAGCAGAAAGTTAAGAAGATAGTGTGTACACTATTCTGGTCAAGACACGAAGACAGCCCCGCATGCAGTCCAGTGAAGAGAAAAGACCCTTCTCATGCACTTTCAAGTCCATTACATCCACTTGCCATTTCTAATACCAGTAACCGTAGAACAGCGAGAAAAACCTATTTGAATATTGGATTTCTCTCTTACACTGAGTGAGAAAATAAAGTTCACCTTCCTTTTCAGCAAATCAAATAAACGTTAATTTCGTCACATGATTCACGACCATCATTTGTTAACATTTGCTCAAGTCAATTGCTCAATCTCTCTCTTCTTCCGCGTTTGACCTGGTGACTTCTCAACTACCTGTGAGGAATTGCGTCAGTGGAAGTGGTTTCAGTATCCGGAATTATTCATTACGTACATCTACACCAAAGTGTACTCCATTTTATTATTTACCAGTTATTCTTCCAAATGAGTGATCAATCCATTTAGTAGTTATATCTACATTTAGTACAGAATAATCGCCATTTTTTTAACATCATTCATTCATTGAAGTACCTTGTAGTTATATAATTACACCATAACAATGAATGCCTGTAACAATGAAAGGCAAAAGACCACGTGGAAGGCCAAAAAGCAGATGTATAGGTAGAATCAACAAAGATTCAACAGAGCTGCGTGCAGATAAATGGAAAGAAACAGCCCAAGACAGGCAGAAATGGAGCAGGTTAATGCGGCAAAAGAACTACATGTATATATATATAATTACACATTCATAATTAGAATGTGTGACAATCAAGATATTGCAAACAATTACTGAGAATTTACATATCTTTGGACTCTGAATAACATAGAAAGTCACAAGACGTTTTCAGTAATTTTCAGTTCAACACACACTAAAGGGTGGTGGATTTTTTTTTTCCAGTATTAGAAATGATGAATATTTATCGAAGTTGTTTATATTCATAATAGAGTAATAATTGCCGTTTATTAACCTTGGCGAACTTATATACATGTAAGACAGGAAGAACGGTTTTTTCTGAGAGTTATTCTATACAGAGCGAGGAAGTAGATATTTGTTTTGTGTCCCGCAAACAACGGTTTACATTCGAAGTAACCGTATTAAAGAAGTATTAATTTTTAAAAACCGAATTAGAAGATATGTTGATGTTATTTTTATTTTCTTGGTAATTTTGTTATCAGTGTTGTTATGGTCAGGAATATCCTGAAAAGGTTTACATGGCGCAAGTTACGCCATTAAATATTTTGAGGGCGGCACATGTTTACACAATTATGGACTTTTGATAGGGTACATATTCATGGGGTTATAAATTTTGAAGAGAATCATATTTTTGTGAAGTTTCAATTGAATAGATTGTTTATATCAAGCAATAAAGGAAATAACTAGACAGCAATTTTTATGATTTTGCATTCATTTGTCCAGTTTTTTTGTTGTTTAAGATGAAGAGTGCAATCAATTTTCTGAGTAGGAAGATGTCCATGGGCCATCGCCCTTGAGGGACGTGAACATTCATGCATGGTACTGTCCATGGTTATCTTGTCAAAAAACAAAATTCAGCTAAGAAATGTAAATATATATATATATATTCACTTCTTCAATTCTTATTCAATCTAAATGAACCTAGTTACAACACCAAAGTTTTTCTTATAGCAATCTCAAGTAAATATTCCCGTAAAAAGTTGAAACGGAGCGTTTAGATCTACAAAATTTACAACACAATCACTTGTGCCAGTTACATCTTACTTAACATTGATACCATTTGACAATACCACATCTTTCAACAGCCATTGTTTCTTACAAACCTTTATTACTTCCAAGTTAATAAAATCAGAGTGATAACCTTTCGAAACCCGCGGCACAATGGCTATTACAAAACAGTGCCAGTCGGAGTAAAGATGATTGAGATTACAAGTAGTGGAAGTGAAGAAAGCTAAATAACATTTTTTTTTTTTTCGCAGGGAAGTAGAAATGTGCAGGAAGCAGAATGTGGCACCGATTTGTGGGTCAAAATTGCTGAGCTACCATGAATCCGGTTTTCTTTCTTACATAATACGGCCACCGTCGAGTCAAGTCCTCCGTGGCTCAAGCCATCTTAATGATATTGGTTGTAGGCGGTTAGTTTTGAAATTGACAAAATTATAAAAGAGCGATGGAAACTCTGAAAACTATTGATGGGTTCTTATACCGAGCTGTGGTAGCTCGGTAGAGAAAACGTTCTATCTTTAGTTGTATTTTTTTTTATAAATTGTTTTCTATAAACAGTCCTCTTTTTATAAAATTATTAACATCCAACCAAAACATCGTGAATAGCTTTATCTTATCGTGGCCTACAACTTTTTTGTTTACGAAAATGCTCGGAAATGGGGCGTTTCCAATCTGGAGTGCGATAAACTTTTTCTGTTTAAGAATGTACTAAATACTCATGAACACCCAATTATTTTTCACTTGAATCGTAAGATAACTTTATCACAAAATCCAGATAAAAAGGTGACCTATACAAATATTGGGCCGTTTGGCCTGACCTCCGCCCTAACTTATCAAAATAACTGGCTTATAGGGGATAAAAGGCCCAATATTTTTGTAAGGTATCTGTTACCTCGATATTTTGATAACATTATCTTACGACTCCACTGGAAAGAAAATGTGTATTTATAAGTTTTATGAATTAATTTAATAATAAAACGCCCGATTCCTTTGAATTTCGTAGATAAAAAAGTTGTGGGTCACAATAACATGAAGCCATTCAAAAACTATAAGATGGCTGTTAATAATATGATAAAAAGGGGTCTGTACAGCGTACTATGAGCCACGGGCGGATCTACGGGGGAGGAGGCTTTGGGGCTGAAGGATCTTCC